CCGTAATGGCTACCTGCCTCCTCCAGGCGAATCTCAACCGCGCTCGCGGAGCCCAGGAATTGTTCATGCAGTCCCTCCGCGAGCGCGGTTGTGGATTGGGGATCGTCTCCGAGCCCCACTCCGTCCCCGGGAGTCACCCTGCCATAATGGGTGACGTTGCGGGGCGGAGTGGAAAATGCTCGGTGGCGATCTATAGAGAGGATAGGGAGACCTCCCCCCCAATCTCCCTGGTGGAGAGGGGAGGAGGATACGTCGCGGTCGAGTTGGGGGCCCTAGATGTGGTCGGGGTTTACGCCCCACCATCGTGGGACCTCGCTCACTTTGAGCACCTTTTGGACTGGCTGGGGCGCCTCATGTCGAGGCGCCCCCACAGGCCGGTCCTGGTAGCCGGGGACCTCAACGCCAAATCGGCGTTGTGGGGGTCCTCGGTAAGGTGCCGAAGGGGCGAGGTTATGGAAGAGTGGGTCGCGTCTCACGGCCTCTGCGTCATAAACAGAGGCCGGAGGAGCACCTTCGTCGGGCCGCGGGGAAGATCAGTGATCGACGTCACATTAGCGTCTCCCCAGGCGGCCCGACTAATACTGGCGGGTGGTGACCAGAGGGGAAAACCTTTCGGACCACCGATACATAGTGGTCCGACTGGTCGCCGCCCCTGAGGAGGTGCTCCAGAGACGCGGCCAGGGGGGCGCCCGACCAGCAAAATGGGCCCTCCGAAATCTCGACCGCGACAGGATGATGGCCGCCTTAACGGCGGCCACTTGGGCGGACCCGGGCCCCACATCGGGGACCCGGGCCGCCATCGAGGCTGAGGCGGCAGGGCTCGTGGACATAATGACAGCGGCGTGTGACGCCGCCATGCCCCGAGCCCGGCCGCACCCCCGCCGGTCCATGTACTGGTGGTCGGCGGAGATTGCCGAACTTCGGCACTCCGCCGGCCAAGCCAGGCGTGAAATGGACCGGCGGGGAAGGAATGGAGTAAGTGGGATGGCCGCCGCGGGGGCGTACCGCGAAAAACACGGCGCCCTCAAGGCGGCCATCTTTACGGCCAAGGCCCGTGCCTGGGATGAACTGGTCTCCACCCTCGACAGGGACCCATGGGGGCGCCCGTATCACATTGTGATGAGGCGCTTGCGTGACTGGGCGCCCCCACCAACAGCGTCCCTGGACCCCGACTTCCTAGACGAAGTGGTGGGGGCCCTCTTTCCATGGGAGGAAGCATGTATTCCCCCCTACGAGGGCCCCCCCACGGACGGGGAGGATGAGTCGGTCGGGGTCACCGAGGTGGAGATTGATAGAGCCGTCAAGAGGCTCGGCGACAA